GACAGGTTGTGTCGACTCGTGTACTCCGTCCTAGCAAAACTGGAGAATACAGATTCTGGAGCAGCTGTCCGTAGTAACCAATCAGCTTCTCTCTCTAGTTAAGCTTTGGAAATAGACAAAAAAAAAGCGGATTGGTTGCCATGGGCAACTGCTCTAGTTCTATTGCCATTTCCCTCTATGTACACAGTTGAAAACCAAATGGTTTATTGTTTGATTTGGCAAAGGGTTTGTCATTCCGTGCAGATAATCTTGTGACAACCTGAACCAAAAGCCTCTAAACATTTACATAGCAATTGCATGCAAACAAGTTTCTCATTGTTTATTCAGCTGTTTATACAAAAACAAAAAATAAAATACAAAAAGGATGCAAAATATATCTGATGAATGTAGTTTTAAGACCCAGCAACCATGCAGGCCCCAAAATAAATACATTAAAAAAAAAAAAAAAAAAGAAGGGCTATACGGGAATTAAAAAGAGTTCTGTCCACCCTGTGAGATGAGTCTTCTCTTGGTGGCCATAAGCTGTGCACATTTCAACTGGTTCTTTAGGAAAATCGGCCAAAATTTGCACAGTGGGTTCCGCTGCTGGCACCCTTTCGGGCTGGCATCCCTCAACCAGCTGATCAAAGGAGCCAGTCGGAAAATCTTTGCATTTTAACAGAGCCGGCAGCCAATGAGCTGTCGGCCCCGTTTAGGTATACTGGCAGCAGCTGGTGGCTGTTCCATCTTAGCAATGAATGTCACTTCTGCGTCCATTCCAGTGTTTCCTCCATCTTGGAATAGAGGCAAAATAGACCCATGAAGTCACAGGTGGCCGGATGTAAACAGACCTGCATCCGCCCACATCCAGTCAAGTCATTAAAAACAGACCTGGACGCAAACCCTTTTACGTTCAGTCCAATGACCCTGAACAGACCCAGAAGTGGGCAGAAACAGGTGGACGCACATCCACATACATCCGGCCACCAATAGAGATGTATAGCAGTCCGCTTTTGATGTATAATCATGGGGAAAAACAAAAACGGACTGAACAAACAGTCGCTTAGTGAAGCCCAGTGTGGGAAAATGTATAAATTCGGTTGCATCATCCGCGTCTTTTAACCTGTTGCATCCCTGATTCTAGTGCATACAGCAACAGATTTCTTATCCTAGTTTATGTGTCATTCTTAAATGTCTTCATCAGGAGAACTGGCTCTAAACTGTCCCAGACTTGCTGGGAACCTCCTGGAGGACATATGAATAGTCCTGAAGAAGTGCTTACCGGATATAAGGGTATGAAGCGAATTATATTTTAACAAGTGGTGAAGAGCACTTCTAGAATGTACGACAGTTTGGAGGGTTTTTAATGTCACAAATGCTGGACGTAATTATCGCACAGTTGAAGAATTATGCAAAATGTCGCAAAACATGTTCAGTGAGATGTAAACATTAACATTGTACATCAGAAATGTCACCAGCACACCAATGGATGATGTCCAAAACCAAGCGTCATTTATTCACGCATATTGTCACAACACAAATTATTTTTGATGTGACAATATGCGTGAATAGACGACGCTTGATTTTGGACATCATCCATTACACCAATGGTGACATTTCTGATGTACACTGATGCACGGTGCCATCCGCAGTCGCTTCAGCACCCACCGTTCAGCACAAGGGGCATTCAGTAAGGAGTGCGGCAGTTATCTACAGTTATGTCTGAAGTAAACATTAAAAAAGGAGAACTATGGGGCTAAGGCTTTTCCCCATAGTTCTCCTTAGGGTAACGGGAGGACACCAACTAGTGTCCTCCCGTCACCCTAAGCTCAGTATACCGCGTGCTGTAGCTCGCGGTATACTGAGAAGCTGCAGCGGATCCCGACAATTGTGCCGGGATCTGCCCAGCTGTGTGACTGACAGCTGGCTCTGCCTATCTGGAGGCAGAGCCAGTTGTACCCGCCCCCTTCCCCGTCCGTTCCGCCACTCAGCGCTGGCGGATCGGAGCGGGGAGGGGGGAATCCAGCCCCTCCCGGCAGAGGGCCGTGACAGGATCGAGAGGTGAGCGAATGCTGGTATGTGTTCGCTCACCTCCCGATCTACTGAGCCGACCTGTGACTGTCTCATTGTCACAGGTCGGCTAGAACTATGAGGTGAGTGAAAAGCACTCACCTCATAATTCTCCTTTAACATGCCACAAGAACACTTCCAAATAAGACGCATAACAGAGATGAAACTTGGCGGTTAGCATGAGGTTTTGGTCTTTGCGACTAAAAATTGTCGCAAAACACGTTCATAGATCCCCCCCCCCCCCAATTGGTTTTTGTACATACCTTTTCTCTGAGGTAGGTCTCCCCACATGGTCCAATACCCCTCAATATGAATGCCACCACACAGCAGCGGGTAGACAGTGCAGCCTCCACTGCAGACAGGAACATGGAGGGCAACCAGAGAGCCAGAGTTGTGTCCTGCACAGGACAAGAAATAAGAGACATCAAATGATAAAACAATTTGGCTCCGATGCAGATTTATGAATACTGCATGCAGATTGAGGAAAATGGTTGGCTCTTGTAGGTAACCCAACACATCTGGAGGCCAAGTTATGTTATATTTAATCAAGTTTTACCATGTGTGAATAAGTCTTCTATAAAACTGGAGTTTTGTACTGTACAACAATGGGAGCAATCAAAGCAGAACTACAGAGATACTACCTGCCAAAAGAACCAATTCTGTTCAGCCAGTCTTGACATTTACACATTGCATAGCCAGGTAGATCACACCTGACATCTTCTGGTCCTGCTTTGCAGACTCCTTTGTCTCCACTTCACCCCAAACCCACTTTGTGAACATTGACTAGGACTCATCACCACCTCTGTCCAATAAGCAGATACTGTAGATGATATGGGAAGCTGCAATGCTAAACCAGTAATCGCCAAATGCCTGGCTATGGAGTGTGAATCACATGCACAACTATACATTTTTTGGCAGGTAATATAGTTCGCATAGACATCATATGTCAGCTATTTATTTACTGATCTGCTCGGAGTAATGTTTTCAATCGACATATTCAACTATAAAAAACAAAATGACCCATCATAAGCAGTCATGCCAGAAACTCACATAGATCCGCGTAGTGTCGAACGGGCATTCATTACTCATGATGACGGAGCGGGTGTCTGCCGGAAGCACTGTGGCATTACATCCAGATACGAGGTTCTTGCCTCCATTGGCAATTGTGAGCGAGATGGATAAAACAAGACCCACAAAACAGGCAGCTGAGAGCAGAGCATTCAGCAAGGAGATGACCAGGAGGGCCCAGTGCTGTATGGGGACAAACATCATGCCAATGTCATGGCCCAAGATTAGTACAGAATGGACACCAATGTGGGAACCACAATACATGAGGAGAGAGGTAAACCAAGGACTGGAAGAGAGATGGAGGACCGGGTAGAACAGGCTAGCCCTAGATAGAGGTGAACAGACATGGAAAATAGCAAAATACAGGTGAGCAGAGAGGCAAACACATCAATGTCATGGCGAGAGGCTCAATACTGAAAAGTAGGGATGCACCGATAGTTTTACTGATACTTTGCTTTCAGCACTTGCCGATACAGAGTACTGATATTTCTGCTGGCATGGAGCCGGCTTCCCGGGCAATCAGAAAGCCATATTGTTTGGCTGCATCGAGTCAGATTCCCGGCCAATCAGGAAGTTGACCCCATGCTGATTGGCTGGAAAGAAAGCTTCTCAGCCAATCAGCATCGAACCAACTGTCGGCCAATCAGGAAGCCGGGTTATTACTCACCGCTCAGCTTCCTGATTTCCCCAGAAGCCAACTCCGTGTTCCCGTACGGCACTGCCAGTCAGAGGAAATCTTCCTCTGACTGGGAGTGCTGGTATCGGGGAAGGTATCGGAGCATTTGGGCAAATACAAGTACTCGGTATCAGTGCATCCCTACTAAAAGGTTCCAATGTGAGAACCATAGTTACATAGTATTTGAGGTTGAATAAAGACATTAGTCCATCAAGTCCAACCTATTAGGATCTCATTCTAGGAGTACCTAAATCCGTTGGCACATGTAACCAGAAGAGCTGAGAGGAGCAGAGAGGCAACAAGTGCAGCCATACACAGGCAGGCCTCCTAAACTGATTAGTCACATTTCAGTATTAAAAATGGTCATTCTAGAAGAAGTGTGATCTATAAAAAACACAGACATGAAAAATCTGGAGGAGGTCTCAAGTGCTGCCAAAAGCAACTCTTTCAGATTTCCTTTCACCAAGTCAAGATGAAACCTGGGGTCTATGGAAAACGACTATTGGTCTCACTCCCGTTACACATCGACTCTCAAGATCGTTACATCACAGACGGAGAGAATAGATTGACACGTCCACTAATCTGCCACTTACAAGTTTGGTTCTTGCAAGGTTCCTGGAGGTCAAGATGGCGCAGATCCCCGTCATGATGCTCTGCAGGGCAAAGAAAAGTAATATGACAAGTGGAACATTTGCTGAGAAAGGTGCAGGTTAGTAAAGGTTGAACGGGTTTTTAACCTGCTTTGCTGTACAAAGGTCCCTTACAAACAAGAGGCAGAGAATACGAATTTGGTATTGACAACAACTCAAGTCTAGTAAAAAGGTGCAAATTAAGAAATCAGTTCAATATGGGAATCTGCAAGGAAAAAAAAAAATAAAAAAGGCAAAAAGTCAACACCTATTTAAAAAAAAATGAAGACATTTATAATGGGATTACACACAGAGAAAACCATTTAGAACATTGGTTTGGCTTCCTGGCAGTATCTAGAAGTATCTGCGTATACATTCAGTCTGTAGTCCCACTACAATGCCTCAATCAATGGGCTGTTACAAACTGTGAAAGCTCTAACACTCCCTGGTAGTCATTTCACCTCTCCCGCTACATATATTTCTAATTGGCCCATCACTAGCCAATATAAATATGCATTAAAAAGGAGAACTAGACTTCCGGTTCCGGTGCCAGATGACAACCGTGTCTCCCGGAGCTCCGTCCCGCCGATCGCCGAACACCCGAGGCCAGCCGATCTTATCCTACAACAGTCACCGTGACTTACCCGCACAGCAGGGGATACAGTACGGTCTATGGACCGCTATCTTTTGCGAGCCCAGCCGACAAAGGAGAGCCCTGGAACAGTCTCTCACAGACGACAGGGACAAATCCAAGATGGCCGCCGATGTCACTCAGCAATCTGACCTAACGATGGATCTCTCTGGTGAGTCACAGCCACCTCCCCTGCAGGGACAAATAGACTACCAGACATTGGCTGCAGCTGTTGCCTCCCACTTAAAGCCAGACCTGACTCGTATTATAGCAGACTCTCTGCAGCAGCATCTAGGGAAACTAAATGCATCACTGACATCACAAGGAAATCAAATCAAGCAAATTGAAAATAGAGTGAATGATCTAGACCAGTGGTTCTCAACCCGTGTAACCTCGGGACCCACATGTTTCCTTGGTCATTAAGGCGTGACCCAAATCTCACAACGCAATCTGGTAGCGGGGGGGGGGCACAGGTTACTATTATTCGCTGACTAATCAGCTGAGCTTACGAAGCAGCGAAAAGCCTTCCACGAGGTGTGTCAGCTGCTGGTGAACAAACTGCTTAAATTTTCCCTCGCATACCCGGCAACGCTGAAACTCTCCTCTCCAGAGGGGAGACCACTACAATTTACTTCCCCCGAACAAGCCAAGAAATATATCAGCTCGATCAACGAAATGTCACCTCCATCTCCTACCAAGAGCCCCCCATGAAAAAGAAGGCCTAATCAACCGAGGGACACTACTGCTGAGTTATACTTCTCATCGCACTAAGAGGCGCTGATTGTTACGCTGACGTTGCAAAAGTTTTACCTCCCATTGTTATGGTTGCTCTTAACGGGTGTTCTAACACAATTGTTATTACAAAGTTGTTTCCATTGGCGGGACGGGACCCCCATCTCACCTTCAAATTTTTCAGTATGCACTTGCTCTGTGAGGGCAGCTGTCTTGTGCTGACCCACATCAGAGCGCAGCTCACACTCACGACATCTGGAAAAAAGGTAGTCACGATTGGACTACAGTTGCTCTCTTTGTTGACTCTACTCTTTCGATTTTTGTTTTTATATTGTCTCATACTTCCTGGATCCTCAACTGGCCGTATCTTCACCCTCCTACACAAGTTGCTCGACCTAATCCTCTTGGGTCGGGAGGGTTGCCACGGGGCCCTCCCTCCTACTTGGAATCGTTCTGGATTAATGCATCACTTCTCCTATGCATCGTTCACTTTGGAGACCTGACCACTGGTCGCATGGGGAGCAAAGGGACACCTTCATGCGATCACACTCATAAGAACACTTCTACCTCGATTGAGGCACCACTACTCTTATACCCCCAACCATGGGAACCCCCTTGAGGATTATCACATGGAATGTCAAAGGAAGCCAAAGTTATTCATGACTCCCCTCGTCAGAAAGCACCGGGCCCTGATGGTTTGACCACAGAGTTCTATAAAATTCTCACGGAAGAAATTAATCCCCACCTTACTGCATTATTCAACTCCATTTTACATGACGGTCAATACCCGCCAACATTTAATGATGCCTATATTAGGCCGATTCCTAAAAAAAAAGATAAAAGACCCGCTTTCGCCAGCTTCCTACCGCCCGATATCCCTACTCAACCAGGATGCAAAACTGCTCTCAAAAATCCTCGCGAACAGACTAGCTGCCATTTTGCCGAAACTTATTTCTACTGATCAGGTTGGTTTTGTTTCCGGTCGTTCCGCTGTTATGAATGTACGCAAAATAATCTCCTCATTGGAACATCTGAGATTGTCGAACTCCTCTCGGCGGTCACAAGCTCTCTTAGCCCTGGACGCTGAGAAGGCCTTCGACAATGTCAGCTGGAGTTGGTTGCAACAGGTCATGTCACACATGGGTTTCTCAGGGACATTCCTGAAATTCGTCTCCACCCTTTACACTTCTCCCAAGGCCCGCATTTGCACCTCATCAGCCATCTCAGCGTCCTTTCCTCTATATAAGGGTACACGCCAGGGATGTCCTTTATCCCCACTCCTCTTTAACATGGCAATCGAACCACTCTCCCGCTCCCTAGCCTCCTCTCCCCTGTATTCAGGAGTCTCAATAGGCCCTAATGATGTTAAGTTAGCCCTGTTCGCCGATGATATAGTACTGTTGTTATCCGACCCCTCTACCCAACTTCCACGAGTGCTCCAACACATAACTATGTTTGGTACATTCTCGGGGCTAAAAATCAATTTTGCCAAAAGCGAATTATTGCCCCTATCACACAACTTTACCTTAGACACCTCCACGTGGACTGAGTCTTACAAAATACAAATTAGACAACGTTCCGTTAAATATTTGGGTATTCATATTCCTCGCCTAGCCATGGATCTTTATTCACTAAACTATACACCCCTCATACAAAAAATCTAAACGAACTCCGCACCTGGCAATCACTCCCATTCACCACCCTAGGCAGATGCCACCTGATACGCATGATATAGTTTTGCCCGCCTGTTGTACCCAATGCAAACGATCCCGCTCCTTATTAAACATAAAGACATTCAAACCCTCAACAGCGCCTTCTCCAAGTTTATTTGGAGAGGGAAAAAACCCAGAATTGCATTGTACAAACTCCAAAGCCCCGCTACCGACCTTGGTGCCAATCTACCTAACATCAGATTATATAACCTAGCCAGTATTTTCCGCCACGTTAGAGATTGGATATCCGATACCTCATTCTTCACCAACACACCATTAGAGAGCCACCTAGCGTCCCCATGGTCACTATCGGGTATTTTACACACAACCCGCTTCCCCTCCTCCCACCTCACATCAAACAAAATATCCTGTTAAGAGACACGATAATTACTTGGAGGGAAGTCAGGAAACTTTATAGCCTACCTGGGGTAATCGCCCCTTTGATGCTTATCACGTCTACCCCGGCCTTCCCAGCCGGGCTCGACTCAAAAGCTTTCAGGGGCTGGGAACTTCTGGGTATCCATACCCTGCAAGACATACTGACACCTCAGGGACACTGCAAGACCCTCCTCACCTTGTGCAAGGAACACCGCGTTCCCCCTACACATTTCTTGCAGCACGCCCAGATACATCACTTTCTGCTGAAAAACCTCCCTCCCGCTAGCACTGGACTACAATACTCCCAATTCCGCACGCTACTCTCCTCACCAACCCGCAAACTACCTCTTTCCTTTTTGTACCGACACATATACTCCCACACTGCCTCATCACTACCTCCGGCCCTTCCTTCCTACATAGCCAAGTGGGCCGACCTGCTACTCCTAACTCCAGAAGACACACATTCTGTCATACTGTCAGGTTGGAGACACCTGAGGAAAGCTATAACTAGTGAAGCATGGAGGGAAGTACAATTCAAAGTGATTCACAGAGCCTATTATGGCTTCAACTTTAACTCACCCAATAACCCTCCAGACTGGTTGACCCATTGTCCAAAATGCCAATTACCGTTGCCTGACCTAACCCACCTTATATGGCTATGTCCTTTTATCCAATCCCTATGGACCGAAATCATTGCCTTCATGAATATGAAATCGGACAGACAGAGAATGCCTTCCCCTGACATCTGCCTATTTCACTTCCCTTCCCCACTCTGTCACACCACATCCCTCCCTCACTCGCTGGGAACACCTCTGCGTCTTAAGTGCGAAGAAGGCCATCTTGACTGACTGGCCATCTCCTACTCCGCCCACACTCAGTACATTTAATATTATAATTCACAGACTCATGCTACTGGATAAACTAAGCGCACAGTTCGATTTTCATCTCACGGGTAGATTCTTCGATACCTGGTCCAGATATTTAACGTCTGAACTCCCTGCACAACAATTACAAGATATTATGACTACCTTCCAATACTCCTCATGGTTTCTCCATGCTAAACTTGAAGGATCCCTCGGAGCACTAGATGTTCTCCGATAGTCCTTACGACTCCCCTACATTCCTTAGGCCCTCTCTACACAAAAGTGGTTCTACGATCTCTCCCCCCCCTCCACTAATCCAGCGATTCCTTTCATCAGAACATTAACTTGAATGATCCAGGATCAGTTTCAGTTACAGTATTGACATCTTTTATATATTTTTTTTTTTCCTTCTTCTTCGTCCTTTCAATTGATGATTTGCTTATTTCTGTTTTCACATAGTGATCTATGGACTACATATCTCAAGGTGAAGTTCCCTATGCCACACACGCATGTTAAATTTGCGGCAATGTATATGGTCCTGTATTTTATCCTCACCACATGTTGTGAACACATTCTGATTTCTTTATGAAAATGTCTCATCACTATGTAACCTGCTATAATAACAATAAAAATTGATATGCTAAAAAGGAGAACTATGGTGTCAGTGCTTTTCCCCATAGTTCTCCTAAGGGTCACGGGAGGGCACAAACTAGCGTCCTCCCTTGACCCAAAGCTCCGTATACCGAGAGCTACAACTGAGACCGCCGCAGCTGGGATGGATCCCGACTCTCGAGATCCACCCAGCTGCGTGATTGACAGCTGGCTCTGCCTATCTAGAGGCAGAGCCAGCTGCACCCGCCCTCTCCACTCTCCACCCTCTGCAGGGACAGGATCAAGAAGTGAGCGAGCGAGGGTATGTGTTCGCTCACTTCTTGATATATTGAGCCGACGTGTGACAGTTTCATTGTCACACGTCGGCTCAAACTATGAGGCCGAGTGATTTTTCACTCACCTCATAGTTCTCCTTTAAGCGGGACATGTGGGAACGCAGGCTGCCGAGGACGTACAACAAAAACACGCCGTTACCAAAAAGGATCATGTGCCATTTTCAGTCCAGTCAGCGTAGTCCATTCATAACAAAAAGGCTGCCATAATGTGACTCCCTACACAGATATAAATCTTAAATACTGACCCCCATCCCCACTCACCAACAGTCCAGACACGACAGAGATGATATTGGCGGTAAAATACTCCGGGCTCACTTTCTTCTCTGGATTGGCCACGTGCCTTAAGACTGTCCCATGAACAATGGCCCCCAGGATAAAATTCACATGACCCACAAAGATCAGCGCAATACCAGTTCTCATCAACTGCCGGGGCCCCTTCTCCAGGCCTAAGAAACAGGAAAACAAAATTCAGAGATGGTCATTGTATAATAAGGGCCAATGGCACATATAACCCATACACATGCTTCAGTGATGCCAAGTACAAACATTTTATTTCTGTATAGGGAGCTTGTGATCAGTTCACGTCTGCTGCTCTCCTCCAGCGGTGTCAGACTGTCACTGGTGCTTACCGAAAACTGATATCGTTATAGGTGGAGAGTCAAGTCACCTGCTTGTTGTTGAATGCCCCCCCCCTTGGGATACTGGGGGTCAAGGTCTGGAAGCAAGGGACAGAGGACACTGTATGGTACCAAAGAGGAGAAAAGGTAGACAGGAAAAACAAAACAAGACTAGGAGGGGATGAGAACAGGGAAAAGCAAGAAATCGGAAA